TCATCATCCCCCTCCCCCTCCCCTGCTCCCCCCCTCCTCCTCCTCCTCCTCCTCCTCCTCCTCCTCCTCCTCCTCATCCTCCTCCTCCTCCTCCTCCTCCTCCTCCTCCTCCTCCTCCCGCTGGACATTGCAAACATGAAGCGGGACCCCCCTTATCAAGATGAAGCACCGCTCGAGGTTTCTTGCAATTTTCTGGCGGGCGAAGCTTTCGCTCCAGACATCCTCAACTGCGTTCCCCTCTTCACCCGTCCCCTCCCCCTCCTCCTCCTCCTCCTCCTCCTCCTCCTCCTCCTCCTCCTCCTCCGCCTCCTCCTCCTCCTCCTCCTCCTCCCCCCCCCCCCTCCTCCTCCCCCCTCCTCCTCCTCCTCCTCCTCCTCCTCCTCCCCCCTCCTCCTCCTCCCCTCCTCCTCCTCCTCCTCCTCCTCCTCCTCCTCCTCCTCCTCCTCCTCCTCTTCCTCGTGTTCTTCCACCCCCGCCAGAGCCGCCTTCGGATCAACGTCCGTCGGCGGCGGCTGCAGCGGCTCGAGGTCGGATTCGATCTCGATCGCCGCAGCCTTCGGAGGCGGGGGGTCCAAGCCACTGCCGTCGTCGTCACGACCTCGTTGTGTGAGGGCAGAGGGTGAAGAGAAGGAAGAGGAAGACGAGGAGTAGGAGTAAAGGGGAAGTGGAGAAAGACGAAGGAGGATAATTAAGGAGGAGGAAGAGGAGGAGGACTAGGGAAGGGGAGGGCGGGAAGAACGAGGAGGGGAAGGGGATCCTCCTCCTACTCTTCCTCCACCCTCCACCCACCTCATCCACCTCCCTCCTGCATACGGCGGCGGGCACGTTTCGGGCAGGTTTCGGGCAGGTATCGGGCAGGTCTCGGGCAGATGTCTCGACCTGCCCGAGACATGCCCGAAACCTGCCCGAAACATGCCCGCCGCCGTCGAGCCGACATTGAGCCCTTGCCCGCCTGCGACGGGCCGTCCACCTCCGTGGTCGGGGCGGCCCACCGTGGTCGGGGCGGCGTCCTCGGGACGACGGGGACGTCATCGGGGGAGTGGGACTCCTCCTCCTCCTCCTCCTCCTCCTCCTCCACCTCCACCCCCTAGGGCCACCTCCCCTCCTCCTCCTCTTCCTCCTCTTCTTCCTCCTCCTCCTCCTCCTCCTCCCTCTTCTCCTCCTTGTTCTCCTCCTCGTGAGGGTGTGTAGGGTTATGTTGCATAGAGGGTCCTCACCAGAAGCCAGCGTCTCGACCGCGTCCTCACACACACACACATGGAGGAGGAGGAGGAGGAGGAGGAGGAGGAGGAGGGGGAGGAGGAGGTTGATGAGGATCGATGTGGGAAACCAGCACGAAGGATACAGGGGTCCTCTTTCGCTGGCGGTGGCACCTTCGGGAACGGCTTCATATACACGGGGAGGGCGCGGTAGCCAGCCGAAGAAGGAGATGAGGATGGAGGCTGAAAGAATGGAGGACGAGGAAGATGAGGATGAAGAGGATGATGATGATGAGGAGGAGGAGGAGGAGGAGGAGGAGGAGGTCGTGGAGCAGCTGGAGGATGAGAAGGATCAGGATGGGAGGTTGACGATCGAGGAGGACGATGAGGAGGGAAAGGAGGAAGAGGAGGAGGAGAAGGAGGGAATGAGGAGGAGGAATATGATGAATGAGGAACATGAGAGGGGTGGGCACCTTCGGCTGAAGAGCGCCAGGGTGCATTTTGGCGGCAGCGTCGGCGTCGGCGTCGGGGACAGACGGCCGACTCGAGTCGGCCATCTTGGGGGCCAGCGGCTGCGGCGTGCACGCACGGGCATCGCACCACATCTGCTGTGCTACTCTTCCTTCTCCTCCTCCTTCTCCTTCTGTTTCTCATTATCCTCCTCCTCTTCCTCCCCCGATCCTCTTCCTGGGTCCTCCTCTTCCTCCTTCTCCTCCTCCTCCTCCTCCTCCTCCTTCGCCTTCCTCCTTTTCGAATCCCAATCGCCTTCCTCCTGGCGTTCTCGCGTCGAGTTCGATACATCGAGCTCGACGCGAAAACGCTGCCGTGTTGGGGGGAGTAGCACGAGAGACGCATTCCCCTTCTTCTGCTCGTCTCACCTTCATATATCCTTCGGCTCCTCCTCCTCCTTCCCTCCCTGCTCTCTTTTAAAGAAGACGAATCGTTGGAATACCATTGTGCAGTAGTACAAACCTGAAAACTGAATTTGTTATAAAAAAATTGAAAAAAACGCGGTTTCAAAATTTCTGAAATTTTGGACCTCTGGGTTCTGAGAAGGCATGGCAGGGGCCCTCTCAGAAGGGCCCGGGTGCCTCGAAGGAGGGCCCCGGGTGGCCTCTCAGAAGGCTTCCGAGAAGGCAGGGGCCCTCTCAGAAGGGCCCGGGGGCCTCTAAGAAGGGCCCCGGGCCCCGGGTGGCCTCTCAGAAGGGGGGCTTCTAAGAATGCAGCTGCCCTCTCAGAAGGGCCCGGGGGCCTCTCAGAAGGGCCCCGGGTGGCCTCTCAGAACGAGGGGCTTCTGAGAAGGCAGGGGCCCTCTCAGAAGGGCCCGGGGGGGGCCCTGAGAAGGGCCCCGGGCCCCGGGTGGCCTCTCAGAAGGGAGGCTTCTAAGAAGGCAGGGGCCCTCTCAGAAGGGCCCGGGGGCCTCTAAGAAGGGCCCCGGGTGGCCTCTTAGAAGGGGGGCTTCTAAGAGGGGCCCTCTCAGAAGGGCCCGGGGGCTTTTGAGAAGAGCGCCGGGTGGCTTCTCAGAAGGGGGGCTATCAAAAAGGCAGGGGCCCTCTCAGAAGGGCCCGGGGGCCTCTTCTCAGAAGGGCCCCAGAGGGCCGCTCAGAAGGGGAGCTTCTAAGAAGGCAGGGGCCCTCTCAGAAGGGTGGCTTCTAAGAAGGCAGGGGCCCGGGCCCGGGGGCCTCTAAGAAGGGCCCCGGGTGGCCTCTCAGAAGGGGGGCTTCTCAGGTCCGCCCGCCCGACCCGATCCGCCCATTCTTAGGGTCCGCCCACCCGACCCGGCGCGCCCGTTAGGGCTCGCGCGTGCCAACTCGGTGATGTGCCCTCTTTTCATGTCCCGCCCGCCCGAGCCGATCCGCCCGTTGCGGCCTGCCCGACCCGATCCGCTTGTTCTCAGGGTCCGCCCACCCGGCCCGACACGCCCGTTAAGGCTCGCGCGTGCTAACTCGACGATGCGCCCTACTTTCGCGTCCCGCCCGCCCGAGCCGATCCGCCCGTCAAGGTCCGCCCGCCCGAGCCGATCCGCCCGTTCTTAAGGTCTCCTCCCACCCGACCCGACACGCCCGTTAGGGCTCGCGCGTGCTATCTCGATGATGCGCCCTACTTTCACGTCCCGCCCGCCCGAGCCGATCCGCCCGTCAAGGTCCGCCCGCCCGACCCGATCTGCCCGCTCTTAGGGTCCGCCCACCCGACCCGACACGCCCCTTAGGGCTCGCGCGTGTTAACTCGACGATGCGCCCTACCTTCACGTCCCGCCCGCCCGAGCCGATCCGCCCGTTAAGGCCCGCCGCGCCCGTCAGGGCTCGCGCGTGCTGACTCGATGATGCGTCATACTTTCACGTCACGCCCGCCCGAGCCGATCCGCCCGTGAAGGTCCGCCCGCCCGAGCCGATCCGCTTGTTGTTAGGTTCCGCCCACCCGGCCCGACGCGCCCGTTAAGGCTCGCGCGTGCTAACTCGGTGATGCGTTCTATTTTCACGTCCCGCCCGCCCGAGCCGATCCGCTCGTCAAGGTCCGCCCGCCCGAGCCGATCCGCCCGTTCTCAGGGTCCGCCCACCCGACCCGACACGCCTGTTAGGGCTCGCGCGTGCTAACTCGATGATGCGTCCTACTTTCATGTCCCGCCCGCCCGAGCCGATCCGCCCGTCAAGGTCCGCCAGCCCCACCCGACCCGCCCATTATAGGGTGTGCCCGCTCTCTTTGCCATTTAGATCTTTCACGTGCTCGGCGGAGCGAGCCCGCGCGAAGCAAGCCCAGGCGAAACTAGACTCGGCAAAGCGAGCCTCGGCGAAACGAGCCGAAGCGAGACTGTGGCGAAACGAGACTGCCGCGAAACGAGACCCCGGCGAAACGAGACTCCAGCGAAACGAGCCCCAGTGAAGAGAGGCGGGCGAACCGAGCCCCGGCGAACCGAGCTCCGGCGAATCGAGTCGGGCGAACCGAGTCGGGCGAACCGAGCCTCGGAGAAGCGAGCCCCGGCGAACCGAGCAGCCCCGGCGAACGGAGCCCCGGCGGACCGAGGCCCGGCGAATCGAGTCCGGGCCCTCTTGGAGGCCTCTTGGGTCGTTTTAGGGTGGCCTTTGGGGGCCTCTTGGGTCGTTTTGGGGTGGTCTTGGGGGCCTCTTGGGGGCCTCTTGGAGGCCTCCTGGGGGCCTCATGGGTCGTCTTGGGGGCCTCTTGGGGGCCTCTGGGGCCGTCTGGGAGCGTCGGAAAGCCGAAGAGGCGAGAACGCCAAGATCTTTCAACAAGATTCCCAGGATAATCTGTGCTTTGTGCCATGTTGTGCCTCTGGTGGCCCTCTTGAGGGACCTCTTGGAGGCCTCTTGGAGGCGTCTTGGAGGCCTCTTGGGCCGTCTGAGGGCCATCTTGAGCGTCTTTGAGCAATCGTTCGGCGACTCGGGGCCCTCTTGGACCGTTTTGGGGCCTCTTGGGGCCCTGTTGGCCCGTTCTGGGGCCTTTGGCTCCGAGAAAGTCAAGCGATGCGACAAGCGCCAAGAGATTTCGGAATATAGCGTCTGGGCCCCTACAAGATTCATCAGCATGGAGACCTGAGGCGTAGAGGATTAGGGAAAATACCTGAGGACAAGCCCACTCCGTGCCCAGAGGCACGGTGGCGGACTACAGGATGCAGTGGAGCAGCGCCACGATGCTTTTGTCCACCCACCCGTGGCGGAACAGGCTCGCTTGGATGCGGTGGTTCGTGCGTTCGATCCGACAATCGCTCTGCGGGGCTAGAGGATCCCATGTCATGAGCTTCTGAGCGCCCTCTGCACCGCCGCCGCCTCCGCGGGCCCATCTTGGCTCGAGCCCAAGCGCAGGACACCAGCCTCCCCCCTGTCCTGTCACTGGCCGTCCTGAGAAACACGCGATTGGAACTACCGGCCCCCCACACATGTACACGTGACTTCTTCGAGCCGAGTCCGTCCATCCTCCTCTCCCTCTTTCCCCTCCTCCTCCTCCTCCTCCTCCATCTCCTCCTCCTCCTCCTCCTCCACCTCCATCTCCTCCTCCTCCTCCTCCTCCTCCTCCTCCTCCTCCTCCTCCCTCCCCTCCTCCTCCTCCTCCCTCCTCCTCCTCCCTCCTCCTCCTCCTCCTCCTCCTCCTCCTCTCCTCCTCCTCCTCCTCCTCCTCCTCCTCCTCCTCCTCCTGGGTCTCTGGCAGCCTAGGGAACCCCAACAAATGACACAAAAACGCAAGCAATAGATCTGCCCTCGATCCTCCGAACATCACGGTTCACCCCCATCCTCCCCTTTCCCTCAGGGGCAGCGAAAGGGGCTCAGGGGGAGATGCATCGACCCCCAATCGCACATTCATCGCCGACAGGGGCCTGACAGCCCACCCCATCCAGGAGCGTGCGGTTTCGCTACCGGGGGCCTATTGCCGATCTATCGGCGATGCATCGCCGATTCCAGCTCGATGTCCCCCCTCCCCCAGGAGCCGATCCCCCCCCAAGAAGAGTCTCCGCTCCCCCCTTCCCTCCCCCCCCCTCCCTCCCCTCGGGCCTCGGGGGGCGGCGATGCTGCTGCTGGCCAGCGACACGCAGGCCAAGGTCTCCGCGTGCCGCGCCAGCCTGGGGGTTGTGGACGCCCAGCTCGGGCAGGTGCTGGGGAAGCCGCTGGCGGAGGTCGCGAAGAAGCTGGCGCCGCTGGAGAGCGCGGAGCTGCAGGTGTCCCCGGACCTCCAACGCACTGGCAGGGAGCAGGGCGACGGCTGTTCGTCCTTTTCGGCGTCTGGGGGAGCCCTGGCCTGGCCCCGGGACAGAGAAAGGACCATCTGGGACGAAGAAGTGCTCCCAGGGAAGTAGTCATGCAATCCAGAGTTGCAGGGGCCCCGCACGGAACAAAAGCAAGACGTCGGAGGGAGGTCTGGGTGAGAGTTTGCGCATCCGGGTCTCCGAGGGTGTGATTGTGTTGCATGCTTGTGTTGTTTCACAGTGCGCAGACTGGGGCCTGCTGCCGGGCCTCGGGGCTACCAGAAACAGGGCCTGGGATTACCATCTACCCCTGGGGAAGGGGTCGGGAGCGCTGGGGCCCCCCATGGGACAGCACACATCACCGGATGCCTGGGCATGACTACTGCCTGGGGAGCCGACTTCCCAGGACCCCAGGAGGCGATGAGCGTGGATAGTTTCGGGCCCTGGGGGGGCCCGAATACACCCATGTCCACCGCCTGATGGGGTCCTCAGGCGTCTGACAGTGGTTGGAGGAGCAGAGTGCGAATAGTTGTTCCACCATAGCTCGAGTAGCAGACCGATCTCAGGCTTCTCGAGGCTCTAGACTAATGCTACCGATACTGCTGAACCTATTGGTTCATATAAACCTCTGTAGCTGCTCTAGATCTCGAGGTTCAGCCCCTAAACCGAACGCACACACAAAACATGGTCTCAGGGCGGGTACCTGCCTTATCAGTTTTTCCCCCTTCAAAATGCTCCGATCGACCCGATATTCAGATAGCGAGCAGAAATAAGAAAAGTTGTTAGGAAAACATGCCCCGCACAAAATGAATAGTCAAACATATTCCAACACATGTTACAACTAGACAAGTGTTACCAATTTGTCCGTCGAGTTTTTTAGAGCCAACTAGCCCAGAAGTGATCCCGTATTGCTTAGCTTCCGCTGCTTTGCTATCTGGGAAGCTCTACGAGTCACGCTTATCGGGGGCGCTGGCGAGAGCACTGTGCGGTCCCAAGCATAAACGCAATTTTTCACGTCCGAGCGGATTGCTTGGGTGGGCGCCGAGCCCACTCTGGCAGCGCCGTCGGCGCCGCCCCCGGCGCGCGAGGTGGGACCAGTGCCAACCCAAGAGATCTGCGCGGGCCTTCGGAAGTGTATTCTCATGCCGCTTCCTGTCACTGAGGTGGGGCTCGCGTACGCAGCCGCCTCGCTGTATTTCAGCCACCTGCAGACTGGGGGCACCGACCCGGCCTCCCACCCGATTCGACAGGAGATCAGAGTGGGCTCGATGTGTACACGGCTTCGTTTTGGTCGGCCAGGGCATTTGGCGTACAGACGCGCTCTGGAATTCCATGTCTAGGGAAGTTGGTGTGTCGAGTCTACGCTCCAGGTCGCCCGCTAGGGCGCGAAGAAAATCGCGCGTCACGGTCTGGGCTGGAGAGCTATCCTGGGAGGCGGCGCGAGGGCGCAAAAGGTAACCGCGTGTCGCGCATCGTCGGGCGCGATGCGCGAAGTTCGGCGACTTCGATTACCGAAACTCCCTGGCAGACCAGACGACCTGCTGCATACACCGAGTCCCTTCCCAGGAGATCGACAGGATACAGGCGAGCGGCGCAACGAAAAGAAGCGGGGCACGACAGCGCGGTCTTTCTCTCCTCCGACGTTGCAGCGTTTTAGTCGAAACTCCCCTTGGGGGCCTCGACCACATCCCCAGGGCCGGCTTTCCATCCTGAGTCGATTTTTATTCCCCGAACAGCTTGCTGAACGGGGTGCTGTTGTGATAGAAACTAACTCTGGCCGAGGGAATTCAAATCAGAGACGTCCTCAAAAAAATGTGGTGGTCGGGGCCGTTTCGCCGGAGACATCCTCGCAACTCTCGTTTCTGAGTTGTCCGGGATTGGGCGTTTCGCGTGAGACATCCTCCATTTCCTGAGTTCCCAGATGCCTCGCAAGAGGTGGTCCGGCCCGTTTCGCCTGAGACATCCTCCAAACTCTGAGCTCCCAGATGCCGCGCGAGAGGTGGTCTGGCCCGTCTCGCCTGAGACATCCTCCAAACTCTGAGCTCCCAGATGCCGCGCGAGAGGTGGTCCGGCCTGTCTCGCCTGAGACATCCTCCAAACTCTGAGCTCTGAGATGCCGTGCGCGAGGTGGTCCGGCGCGTTTCGCTTGAGACATCCTCGCAACTCTGAATTCTGAGATGCCGCGCAAGAGGTGGTCCAGCCCATTTCGCCTGAGACATCCTCGAAACTCTGGGCTCGGAGATGCCGCGCGCGACGTGGTCCAGCCCGTTTCGCCTGATACACCCTCGCAGCTCTGAGCTCTGAGATGCCCTGCGCGAGGTGGTCCGGCCCGTCTCGCCTGAGACATCCTCGCAATTCTGAGCTCTGAGATGCCGTGCGCAAGGTGGTCCGGCCCGTTTCGCACAAGACTTTTGCAATTCTGAGCTCCCAGATGCCGCGCAAGAGGTGGCCCAGCCTGGGGGCCCAGAAGACCACATGTTACATATCCCCCCTGGGACCCCCCAGGAGGCCCCAGAGAGCTTCAGGAGGCCGCAGGACGCCCAGGAAAGGCCCCAGGAGGGGCCCCCAGGAGATTCCCAGACGGCTCCCAGGAGGTCCCAGGAGGCTCCCTTACTAGAACGTGTCAAGTTAATACACATCCGGTGTCGATTCGTTGATTTTTCCTGCTCTTGTGGCCCAGACGGCCACATGCTAGATATCCCCCCCTGGGAGCCCCAAGAGGCTTCAGGAAGTCCCAGGTGGGGTCTAGGAGGCCACAGGAGGCCCAGGAGGAAGCCCCAGGAGGTCCCCAGGAGGCCCCAGGAGGCCCCCGCAACTCGGAGCTCTGAGACGCCGCGCTCGAGGTGGTCCGGCTCGTTTCGCCTGAGACTTCCTCGCAGCACGTTTCGCCCGAGACATCGTCGCAACTCTGAGGTCCGAGATGCCGCGCGCGAGGTGGTCCAGCCCGTTACGCTGGAGACATTTTCGCAACTCTGGGCTCCGAGATGCCGTTCGGGATGAGGAGGTGGAGGAGGAGGAGGAGGAGAAGGAGGAGGAGATGGAAGGGAAAAGGAGGAGGAGGATGTGGATGAGGGAGCAGGCAGGAGGAGGGGGAGGAGGAGGAGGAGGAGGAGGAGGGAGAAGGAAGGGAGTTAAAGGAGAGGACCTAACGGGAAGCGAGTGTGACGTGGACTTGTCAGAACGTGTGCGAGAGGTTGTCCGGCCCGTTTCGTTTGAGACATCCTCACAATGCGAAGCTCGAAGATGTTGCGTGCAAGATGGTCTGGCCCGTTCTGCCTGAGACGTTTCGTAGCACAGGGGCTCCAATCACAACCTCTCTCAGTCCTTCTCCCGCCTCCCTCTTCCCGCTTCTCGCCTGGCTCCTCTTCCCTCCTCCCTCCTCCCGCCTCCCGCCTCCCGCTGCTGCGCCTCTGCCTCCGCCTCCCCGTCCCCGCCGTCGTCGTTTCTGCCGCCTCAGCATCCGTCATGCGCGCCCTGCCTTCCGCTCTCCCCAGACATCCGACGTCACGATGTTTCTTTGGAGACGTGCGCCCGCGGATCTCATGTGCAAACATCATGCTATCATGTTCTAACATGCCATGCCAGCCCGCACTGGACGGGCACGCAATCGACCTTGGAAACCGCAGTGGGTTTAAAAACCTTGTTTGGGGATACTGCACTCCGGCTATGATTGTCCCAGGGTTGGGAAACGGGGCCGAAAGCGACGAAACACCAGCCGTCGCGCTTTTGCTCGCGACGCCCTGGTCTGAGGGTTCCGGCGCAGGTTGCCCGGGTCTTCGTTTATGTCGGGCGTGTCCCCCTACAGGGGGATTTTCGACGAAAAATAAAAATACACCGAAAATACCCCAAACAGGCCAAAAAATATTAGAAACATAGTCCCCTGACTATTTTTTATTATTTTTCCTCATTTTGGGGGTATTTTCATTGGAGAGGCCTGACGGCTGGTGCCGCCGACCCTGATCGAAAGGGCTAGGAGTGGGGGGAGGAAGCGGAGGAGGAGGAGGAGGAGGAGGAGGAGGAGGAGGAGCAGGAGGAGAAGGAGGAGGAGCAGGAGGAGGAGGAGGAGGAGGAGAAGGAGGAGGAGGAGGAGGAGGAGGAGGAGGAGGAGGAAGAAGAGGAGGAGGAGGAGGAGGAAGTGCATCCTTTGTGTGCCCGCTCGAGGAAAGTGCGCCCCGACGGGCGTCGTATCTGCCCCGGGCCCCCCCCCCCTCCCCCTCCCCCCCCTCCCCCACTCGGGATGTCGATGAGAATCGTATCCAAGAATAGATATTGATGATAATCAAATATCAGTCGTCAGAGAAACATTAAGATATATTTGATGTCTTTCCTCGTAAGCCAAACGGCTATAGTACGTAACAAAACAGCAGGCAGGCAGGCAAGAGCTTAGCCTAGAAACCATACTTTGGGACGGATCGTCCAGGGCTCCTAAGAGGCTCTTTACAGGACCCTCTGAAGAAACCTATCATACATCAGAATTCGAACCCTCGTCATACCCTCTTGGTTTCGAGAGTATCTATAAAAGTTCGATCCTAAAACGGATCCTAAGAGTCGATATCCTGAATTTGAAAGGCGTGCTTAAACTACATGTGCGAGCGCGCGAGCGCGCGGGAAGCCTTGACATTCTTCACATCGCACAAAAAATAATACCAAAACTGCGTCTGCACATATAACTCGATATATGTATGTCCATCGTAGTCCCAATGTGCATGACCATACAGATATCATCTGTTCTCTTCCAGAGAATATACAACATCATAGAATTCATATCATTTTGATCTTTTCGGCTTGGGATTATCCGCAAGTCTTGGACTGCATTCAGCATATAAATCATGCATCATACCCTCATCTGAAACATATGGAATACTTGTATGTCTGTCAGTCCACACTCGATCCGATACATTGTCGCACTCTGACTTTGTCCCGTATAACAAAGAATCCACTCGATATTAATATATACAACTCCTTGCTGTCCTGACCAGATACCTTCGTGAGTTAGTCGGCACACATCCACTTGGTCCTTATGTGGTAAAGTCGTCGCAAGCGCAGACATCTCCTCTCTTCTCGTATCGATAGTACTCCAAGTATTTGACTCTTGTCTTGTGGTATGCCCTTAGGACCGCAAGGAAATTCCCATATATCCATGCAATCAATGAACGAGTCCACTGGAAGTGGTACTGTGGCTGATTCTTGCACGTCTAGCAAAGCTAAAGGAATATACTGTTTACCTGCGAAACTCTTTCTTGTCGTGGCCCCAGGTTCACACAATCGTAGAGCAACAAGTTGTGCCAATGGTATCGCTTTGGCCGCTGATAAAGTCTCGGCGTGTGACGTACTGTGCAAAATCCTCTTGGCCTTTTGTGAGCTTCCTGTCAATATGTGCATCTTACCTCCGAGCTTTTTTTGCCAGTTCGTTGTCCAAGAGATCCGTTTTGTCCGTCTCTATCTTTACGATTCTATCTTCTGCCAAACCAATAATAACACCTTCTGTCGCGAAATTGCTCTGCTTGTTCGGTGCTGAGGCGTCGCTTATGCTGGCAATACGCAAAGGTGGCTGTATTCTACATAGATATATTCCATGTCGTAAAGGTCGCCGCAATCTCTTGATAACACAATTGATGGCAAGAATGTGCTTTATCTTCGGTGTCTGAAGAAATACTTGTAAACTGGTAACTGCACACAGTTCCTCCAAACGTGTTTGGCAAGCCCACAAAGCTGAACAGCACAATGATCTGAAGATATTGATCTCCGACCTGTCACAGAGACTCTCTGGTTCTCTGAGTCGATGTTCCGGTATCTTGTAGATGGTCAACTTGTTGCAAAACTCGTCTTGATGAAGTCGAAGGCCATCTCGTTTAAGTCGTTCAATCTGGATACCTGCGTGAGTATAAGGTTTATGCTTCAGCTTCATATCACCAAAGCGTCTGGTAAGAGCATCCTTAATCAATTTCCTCATGGATCTGCAGCCTGTAATCTGTAGGTCGTCCACATGAGCCGTCATAATAAGCGCTAAATGCTTGACTCCGTCAATGCTAACAAACCAATACAGAAAGTTGTCGTCAAAAACTGAACTGATCGCATTCGTCTCTTTCTTGAGATTAAAGATAAGTGCAAGTTGAAACATCAGCGGTGCATCCGTGAAACCATACATTGTTCGTAAACAAAGTAGAACATATTGGCCTCGTAGTGCGTCTGGAATGTTCAACTCCTTCATGGCTGTTTTCATCTTACGAAAATGTCTCCACACGTTCTCGGGTGGTATAATGAAGCACTCCCGTTTGTGGCGATATTCATATCCCAGTGTTCTGGCATTAGCACTCAACTCGCTATAATCCAGTCCTTGAAGAAATGCCGTAGAAATATCCAAACTCTCCGTCTCGATGTCGTAGGGATCGTCAGTATCGCTCCGCAGAATTCCATTGCAGAGTCCCATAGAAATCACCCATCGTTGTGAAAGCCGCGTCGCTGTATTTGAATGCTTCTCAAGAACCTGCTTTCGTTTGTCAAAACAGCCTCTAGCGCAAACTCTGGATTTCACCTTCTAGTACTTGATAGCCCACTTGCGCACCCAAACACAATCAACAACA